CAATTTTTTGGTAGGGACAGAAGAATGGTGAAAAGAAAATACACTGGGTGAGTTGGAAAACTATGTGAAAAATCAAGGAAATAGGTGGCATGGGCTTTCGAGACCTCAAAACATTTAATATGACACTTCTGGCCAAACAAGCATGGAGGATTTGTAATGAGAAAAATACCCTCATTCACAAAGTGATGAAAAGTAGATACTTAACCTCGACAACCTTTATGGAGGTAAACTTGGGCAATCGACCCTCATTCACATGACGAAGTATCCTAGAAGCCAGAAGGATAATTAAGTGGGGGTCAAGATGGGGTATTGGAGATGGCAAAAAAGTTAAAATCTGACTGGATAGATGGATTCCCATTGACTTGATCCGAAATGTGTACACCCAAGTGCAGACGATCAAGTTGTAGTAATAATTTGGTTAAGTCCGGAGTTGAATCCATAGAAAACTAATGTTGGTGTTTCGAAGCAAGTAGTGACAAAGACCAAATTGAATGGAATCCTTGAGATTAAAGTTATGGAGTCTACGGGATTCCTTGGACAAAATATAAGATTCTTTCCAAGGGGATTTTCTAGACAAAATATAATAAGCTTTCAAATGTAAAAGTCAGCCTTTGCTCGAGGATTTGAACATATAGTTATTCATCGGTTGGTATACTTGTGCTTGGAAACTCAATTAACTCCTGTGTCAACATAAAGTTAATTGGAAGATAAAAATGGATTGTGAGAACTAAGAGCATAGTTCTGATGTCTTTGTAGAGATTTACAAGAATTATCTGTGCCGAGACTCAACTCGTCTACAAACAAGCAAGTAGTTCTATAAGGCATCCAAGCACCGCAATAGTATTCTATTCTTAGTTGAAGCACAATAATGGTGAAGATTGAAATGTAGTCATGAAGATCTAACTAGGGTAATTGCCTAAAACCAATGAGCCTTCCTATGTCAAGAGCCATCTATGTCATAGAAAGAACTCATGGTTGTACAAAGTACCTTAGTTTTGCTAGATGTGTTCAATCATTCAATAAACAAGTGAAAGATAAAGCATTAACATAGACGAAATGCACAAATATAGCTTTTGAATGATTTAAACATGTCCACCACATCTTACTAAAGAGTGAATGAGGAATTACTCACTCTTCACGGCTTTGGTAAAGCTTAGAAAAGTGAAAGAATTTCACTCATCTAAGGGAAGAAGGAAGCTCAAACAATGGAAGCTAATGAAACTAAGAAATAAAAGTAGAAGAAGCTAGTCACTTTTGGAGGGTTTCCTCCTCAACTAAAAGATGATCTATCTCCCTCTATCTTTCTATGTAATAATATCTATTTCTAAAATGTAAGCCTAAATCTATGTCCTAATGCCCTTTGAAGCTCTCACAATGGAGGTATTTATAGGCAAAAGGGGAGGGGGTAAAGAAAAATAAAGGAATAGTAAATGCCTCAAGAGTTGGATGGATAATCAACTTGTCACGCCCCATCCCGGTCTCCCAAGAATGAGACGTGACTAGGTTTTTGGTACACTGGTTTACGTATCCATATAATCTAGATTAATAAAACACCAATTAATCCCACAGGTGCAACAACACCACCCATTACCTTAGTCATTAAGCATGATGGTAATACCTGTTTTATAACATGTACCATATATAACACATGTACTATTTTGTTTTCTAGGTTATATACATGTAAAAATCCCACACCCATATAACATACATCACAAAGTATGCTTGTTGAGTCTATTCAAAAATGTATACATCATTAACCTATTATAACAATCTCTCATTCAATATAATATACAACCTGAGTAATATCATACAACTTTGCTGAACTACTCCAGCTTGATTTCAATTCACTAGACAGTACTCAATCAACTGGACAGTGGACTGATCTGTAATTCCCTTTATAATACCTGAAAAGGAGAACCTATAGGGGTGTGAGGTAAACCACGCGTTCAGTGAATATACATGCCGTATATGAAATGAAAATGATAGTAATATATAGAAGTAGGTAAATATTACGTAAATACACGTATCAAACAACAACATCAATCTAATTCCAAAGCATTCACAAGTCATAACACATTCATTCTACCCCTCATCGGGTAATCAATCCCACATGGATCCGTGTCTCCCGAACCTCTCGGGAAGACCACAATGCTAGCACACCACTGCATGCCCGGTGATCATAGATCGATGCTCCTGTCTCAAACAGTGCGTCACATTCCACAATACACAATACACAGTACAAAATATCATTCAATCACAAAAGCACATAACACATAATCCTAGAGAAATGCTATTAAATTTTATCATCTAACATCACCTTATAATAGTATTTTTAAAATATATAAAGATATACACCCACCTCAAGTGTACAGAGCTACGGGCCTTCGGACATACCGGTGGATCCCTTCTATTTTTTCGTATCCGTCTCTATGCAAGATGTTACCGCATTGTTCACTCACATACTCGAACATTAGATTTAGGGATCATATTTCTTCTCCAAATTTTTAAAATTACTCACGTTAATCACAATTAAAATTTAGTAGGTCAAACACATTGACCAGGGGGCCCATTTCTACACATTTCAACCTCAAATCTCAAAAACTGTACTTCCAGCATTTCGCATATTCCGCACCAGATATTGTATTCATTTGGATTTGAAATTTACATTATCACATCAAGAATCAATTAAAAATGCTACATGCAAAATTTTGGATCATTTGGATTAAAATTTATACAAGTGATAATAATATTTAGAAATTAGGGTTTCGGCATTACCGACACACATTTCCAATTTTTATCATACTTTCTTTTAAAATAATTTTATTTAAACTCACACTCCCTAATTCATGCAAATCAGCCCTTTAATTGAACCATTAAGGCCCCAATTTCATTCTCATAATTTTGGTTTCAACCTAGTCCACGAAACTCATCTCGAACACCTCAAAGGGTCATTTTTCACATTTTTCTCACTTTCGGTTTAATACCCATTTGGAACCTTTACCTAGCATCCTGTTAATTACGTTCCATACACTTAATGAAACTCACAAAAACCTTGTTGTGAAATTAAATTACAACAGCCCACTAATTTATGTTTAATACACTTAATTTAAGCTCACAAAAATATGTTTTGAAATAAACTAAAACAGCCCACACATATATACAAATACTTAAAATTAATCATACACACACACCCTTACCTTCTTCTTGTTTTCTTCTTAGTTTTGGTTTGGCATGGAGTCCTCCAAGTTCTTCTTTCTTTCTTTCTTTTTTTCTTTCTTTTTTTCTTTCTTCTTCCTCTCCTTTACTCTCCCTTACTCACGGTTTCAACAAGCCAGAACACACACACAAACACTGGTTTGTCTTTTAAACACACTCACTTTACTACATATTAAAGTACACACACACACACATTTTCTACACCTAGTCAAACACACATACACTTGGCACACACACACACATGCACTTGACCTTTTCAAAATGACCTACCACATGTTTGACACATGTGTAAAGATATTTCATGCAACTTTAATAATTATGTTTGCCTCCCCCCAAATTCTTAAGTGATTTCAAAATTAACCCAATACTATTTTCGTACACAAAATTCCATCCAATAGATAATTTCACATAATTATAATTAGTCCACATAATTATGCTAATATGTATGCAATGCATGATCGGGTCTCACACAACCACTTGCTGCCTGTCTAGGGAGAACGTTCGAACGTGGATTGACGTTTGAATGTTGACTCTTATCTTCTTTGATGTGCGTTCGAACGCTAAGTGGAGTTTGAACGTAGAACTCAAGTGACTTTTGTCCTCCTTTACAAGGAATAGCTGCAACACGCGATGTACCTTGTGTCATCACCCTAGCAATGATTTGGGGGTTCTCAAATAATTCAAGTCAATGTTCGAACGTGGATTGACATTCAAACATGGTACTCAAGTGACTCTCGTTCTTCTGTGAGAATAACTGCAATACGCCATGAGCCATCACCCTAACACTCTACCAGGGGCTTTAATTATTTCAAGATGGGTGTTCGAACATTGATGCCTTGCTTTAAACTTCTCCAACTTTCTTCCGGAACACATGAGTGTTGCATGAAAGTTTGGTATCCATTGATTTTAGGCTTTTGTGTAATTTTTTCCTGAAATGTCATCATTTGAACTCTATCAAAGCATAATTAGTCTTGTAAAAGCCTAGAAAGATGCTAATATTAACTATTCATAAACCATTCCTAGTAAATTCAGATTATTTACTCCTCGAAATTCATTATCGATTGATGCTAAGGTAAGTGAGCTTATTGACCAAGATACACATAGTTGGAATGTTCAGGTGGTAGACTCCATTTTCTTACTCCACAAGGTCGTTACTCTCAAACAGATCCATCTTAATAATGACAAGTTAATTTGGCACTATAATCCGAATGGAAATTTCACGGTGAAAAGTGCTTACCTTATAACAGTTGAGCATAATCTGGTAAAGGCAAATACAGATTCTACCCAAGGAAAGAGTAGTTCATCCATGGTGGACTAGAATTTCTTATGGAAACAAAAGGTCCAAAATAAAGTTAAGATATTTATGTGAAGATTCTGCTTGAATGGCTTACCTAGCAATGCAAACCTTAGACGAAGAAAGATTAAGGAGGATGACTTATGCCAAGTTTGCCGTAGGGATTCAGAATCAAGTATGCATGTATTGCTAGAATGTTATTAGGCGAAACTATTATGGCAACTTAGCTCCATCCATAAGATCATTTATACAGGCTTAAGCCCAGAGCTATGTATAAGTGACATCTATCAAGGTCTTGATATTGTGTGAGTTTGAGGTATTCCTAATCTAATGTTGGATTATTTGGAAACATCGTAAAGAAATGATCCATTAAGGTGTATCCAAAAATCCAGCTCAGGTGGTTAGAGAGGTAAATGAGTACTTGGCCTATGTCCAGTAAGCTCATGAGGGTAGGCCGAGTCTTTCTTTGAATCATATAACATCTATCTAGGTGTCTCCTCGATTTGGAGTTTTCAAGGTAAATTGTAGCAGGGTAAGGTTAAGGGAGCATAAAACCTTTGGGCTAGGGATTGTGGTTAGAGATTGCAATGGTGTGTTTATGGCAGGACTAGCAAGGAAAATAGAGCTTCATACTGAAAATCAAGAGATGGAGGCAACAACAATGAAGGAAGTAATCAAGATTGTCTTAAGCTAGAAGGTGATTCTCTTAAGCTATTGGAAGTCTTCAGAGCAAGTTCTAGTGAACAAGAATCCACGACTGAGGCATTTGTAACACCCCAATCCATTTAGTAATGTTCAAAGTGCTAATTACCTCAATAACGAATATAGTGAATCTTCATTAAATATCAGAATCACTAAACACCTCAAAAATGAATAAATAAATTCTCGATATTGGTTTAAATTACAACCAATCGAAATCTTTCATTCATGGATCAACCCGATTCTTCACCAAATTTTACTCCAAATTCAACCTGCAACTGAGAGGGTAAATAGGGGTGAGCTGGGGAAAGCTTAGTAAGTAATTTAAAACATAATATATGAAGTCAAAGGGGAGACGATAATTTATCAACTAACCGATAATCAATCGATGACACAAGAATTAATACGATAATTTACGGAGTACAAATATATTGAACATGTCAAAGAACTCGAAAGCTTGAACAATTAAATCAACCATGATTGAACACTCAGTCAATCCCGACAACAAGCTAGGCATCATTCGGTGCATTTTAATTCAATCATGTCCACCCCTCAAGGCCACGAACATGAAACACAATCATAACAACGCCACCGAGTATACCTCACGCACAAGTCGAAAAATCTCAAGTATTTTACCAAAGCTAACATCATAACAATTAATGACAAGTCAAACAAAATATCAACAATTGAACGAAATATTATTTTGAAATTCAAACTCAAATGATATCACAATTCGAATATGAATAGGACGATATCAATAAAGTACTCTTGGCAAAGAGATTAAAGGAATGCATATCATACATAAACCACTTACACAATCCTTTACACAATCCTTAAACGATACCGTTTACTCTTGACCTCCGCTTCCAATAATATGATAGTAGAATTTTATTGTAAATGGATCAATAACCACATAATTATTCACCTTAAAACTTTCACTTCTTGTTTGATCCCAAAGACATTTGCCTTAACTCTGTACTTCGTCTCTTACTCATCATAAACACATAAACTCTATATCTCTATTTTAAAAGTACAGAATATACACATCTAGATAAGTCTTGAACTTCAAAACACCACAAATGGACACGTATACGATGAAACCGTGAGTCACCCATTTTAGATCACCTTTAGCCGCCACCACACACCCTTCTCCTTGGCTATTATTTTTTTCCTTTTCTTTTAGCCTACTTCTCCAAGTCATTGACGTCAATGATGGCCAGCCAAAAAAAACGAGTAACTTCAATTATAGTTTGTAACCATTTAGTTTTATTAATTATAGATATGCCACAAAATTTAATATTAATTATGTTTTCATCCACAAAACTTTACATTGTTTATACTTACTTAAATTCAATACTTCTATTAGAAAATTTGAGATCTCACAGCATTGCAGACATTAACAATTCTTTAAGGAAATTTCATAGTGTGGAGCTGAATGTAGTGTGTAGAACAGGGAATAGAGTAGCTAGTTGTTTGGCAAAACATGCGTCCTTCATTGAGAATACTGTTATTTGGCGGGAACAGACACTCTAGTTTGTAATGCCTTTTTTATTTTTTGATATTTCTTATGAATAAAACAACCATTGATTTATCTCAAAAAAATGTACAATGATTCCGAATGTTGCGGGACTTGTGAGTAGTGCTATCAAAATCGAATTGGACCGGCTGAACGGACCAATGAATCAGGACTTAAACCAGTCCAGTTCACTAAAAAGACCATCATTGCATTTGAACTATTGAAAAATCGCTAAACCTATCGATTTTGATTTAAATCAGTGAATCGAACGATTTAATAAAACCAACCGGTTCAAAAATTAATACACAAAAAAAAATTCAAAAATCACTTTTTTGGGTTGGTTCATCTATGTATTCTTCGGCAGTTCCATCTATACGAGCAACGACTAGTGGCCACACCAGATCAAAATTGGACTCTTTAGTCGTCTTCTCCAGTCTCCACTTTGGAATCTGGATGCACTTTCAATCTTCAGTTGTCTTCTCTAGATTGACTTGGATGCACAACTCTTGATCTCCTCTCAGCCAACCTCTATAAATCTTCTCTTCTCCCTCCCTCTCTCTTTTTCTCTCTCTCTCCCCTCTCCCTCTTTCTCTATAATTCTATGATTGGTGGTGGTCAGTTGTGTTTGGAATGGGGTATTAATGTCTAGCTTTGAAATTTGAGACTTTGAGGACCTATTTGGTTTGGTGGTGGCGGAAGTGTGCTGGTGGGTGGTGTTAGTGAGAGGGTGGTGATGGGAGTGTGTTGGTGGAAGTGTGGTGGTGGTGGTGGTGTGATGGACGTCAGGGTAGTGGTGGTGGTGGTGGTGTTGTTTTTTTGAAAATGTTTTAAAAAATACCCTCTAACTTGTTATCTAAATCTACACAGTTTTCATTATCAGTTTTCAGAAAAAAAATTGGTCAAATAGTTTTTCTGCCAGAAATTGTTTTCGAAAACAAAATTTTTTTTTTGAGATGGAAACCATACAGGGTCTGAATGACTCACCGTACATGCCTCCTCTGACATTGCAAATCTATTGTAAATCCAATTAATTTCTTGCAAATTAGGGTCCTTTGAGCATTATAAGATCATTACCCTAATCAATTTTTTTTTCTACTCAACTTCATAAATTATATGCATTGTGAATAAATTTTATATAGTTTTAGCTAAATTATTATGTTTTATAATTTTTTTTGTTATATGACCGATCTGACTAGTTTACCCAATGATTGAACTAGTAAATTATTGACTCAGTCCCTCTACCAATTCAATGTTCGGTCCGATTCTGATAACATTGCTTGTGAGAAGCAACTACTAATTTTCTCTCGAAGCCAATACACTTTACGTCCCCCTCGCACAATAATTTCTCTAATATAGAAAAAATTGTGTTTGTGGAGAAAAGTTTCAAATAAAAAGATGGTGACTCAGTATCCGAGACTTTAAAAAAGGGGACAACTTCGAGACTTTAAAAAAGGGGACAACTTCAAATCAGCTGCTTAATCATAGCCAAAATATGATAGGCAAAGCCATCTTATAATTATGACGCCTTCCAAGTGAAATAGGACAACTCTGAAAGTTTTTTTTTTTTTTTTTTGAAAATTTAGTTTAACTCCAAAATTTACCTGCGTATCATGTCCCCAAATGCCCATCCTTGATCATAACTACACTATACTAGAAAAAAAAAAAGAAAAGAAAAAAAAGAGGAAAAAGAAATGATGGTTTAAGAGATTTTGGATTGAAGTAAATTGTATTTTGACCGTTCAACTATGGTCTTGATCTCAATTTTCTCTTGAACTATTGCATTTTTTAGATTGTCTCTCATTGTAGGTATTGGTTTTGTTTACCCTAAACACAAGTGTATGTCTCTATTTGACCGAAATTATTAAGGTATTAGAAAAAAGTGAAACAAAATTACATAATTTAACGGAAAGAGTGAAACACTCTGTGAATTGGTAACAAACTTGAAAACATTGGGTCAAAGTGAAATTAATAACCAAAGTTAAGGGTTAAGGGTATTATCTAAAACCTGATAATTAAAGGGATAATGTGATATAAGAGCCATATTGAGGGGGCCAAAATATAATTTTTGTTATATGTAGTCAGAAGTATTAGGCCAACTAAGCCATTAAAATGCACTTAAGGAGCATTGTGAATTTTAGAGTTGAATCCACCAACTTTTCCTCATATATTAGGTAGCTTGACTTCAATGTGTATTTTTATTTTCAAACCATGTCAGAACTTTTTGTTTTTCTTTTAAAAAATAAACCATTCAAAAAATTTTGAGCTCTATACCTATACAAGCTCAACTTTGAAACATGGGGTGATATTTTCCGACATTGAATATCAAATTTCCTTGAACTGTTATTTTTGTATGGTTTCTCATAATATGAATAACAATTAGTTGATATTGCCTAGTTTCTAAGGTTCATGGCAGTCTTAATAATAGTGGATGACGCATATAATTGATTACAAAAATTTATTCATTTATTAAACCTATAATACGGTATTAGAGTTTATCTCTTGAAGTGTAAATAACACAAACAAATATTGATGCAGATCGAACAACCGGCTCGATGGACCTCATGACCTTTTACCGTATGTCTTTCCATGCCAAAATCCAAATGCAGTGTGGGCTGCAATCCTCCAAATTCTCTCCCCACTTTCTCTTTCTACCTTTTCTAAACATGAAAGTAAAAGTTATGATTGAGAAAACTAGTGAGTGTGTTTATTTATAGGCTAGAATTGAGACTACAAGGAGAAATAACGATCAGGCATCCAATGGGCCTAAGAATCTTATGTATAACTCAGAACAAATATCCCACTATCCATTAATAATAAGATAGTCCACTAAAAATTTATTATGCATCTCTTTGGTCTTATTTCAAAATTATATTTCAAGCTCCTCGTTATTATTTGCTTAATAATCTCACTACATTTAATATTACAAATGTCCATCGATTAATTAAATTACTGATATTTATATTTAATAATTGACTTCTTTTTCTCCTTGAGATCTTAGCAATCAACTTATTTGTCATGTCGGATAATTAAATCCACTAGTAAGGTTTGACATGAATAAAACTTATGAGTTTGCTCAAGAGGATATCATCAACTCATTTAAATACTGAAACGAGGTTTTTTTTTAATAATTAATTTTCACCATATAAATAATGTTATCTCCCAATTCACTGAGTTTGTTGACTCAAATATGAATTTTACTTTTTGATGAACTAAAGTAATAATCATTATATACATGTGTCAATTAAATATCTCATGATTAAGAACTTAAGCAATCCTAATAATCATGAGGTATTTATTTTCTTCTTTAGTTAGTAGAAAGAAAATAATCTCAATAATAGTCATACCCAATACACAAAGTATACTAGTACAACAATTCGAGACATCAGATAAACTCCAATACGCAAAACAGACTATTATAGAAGATTGCACTACAATCCTACCGATGTTGTGTCTAATTCTATCTAAGGCTATGAACATTT